CGCACGAAGAAAACAGTCGACGCCCTATCCAGAGTATAAGTATGAGAAGCCGCTACGAAGAAATGGGAGGGCAGTTCACGCCCCTCAGAAGCATGGTGAGAAAGTGGGAGTGAGAAAAAAAAGTTACCAAAAAATGGAAAAGAGGGAAAATCCCTAACCAGAAATAAGAAGGATGGATATGTATTTAGAATTATCGATGAACCCCGACGCCAAACAGACCCACCCCGGTTTTTGTCGGCGTCAATAAAAGCGAGACCCCAACAGCAGAAATCAGTTCGTCGGACTCTGGCAGGCAGAGTTAGTTCAGCCCTGGACGGCAGAGATGAGTTCCCAGTGTTGAAACCGCCTCAAGATAGCTGACCAAGATCCACGCAAAATTTTGGACTCTTCTTCAACCAAGAACAATTAGTTTGAAGAGCGACTTAGAACCAGACCACAGAAATAAGTTTTTCGACTTTCGTCCAAAGACACACCGAAACACAAATTTCTTAGAGAGCAGACAACTTGAAGCGTTAAAACTTGCCTAGTGAAAGCGTCGTGCCACAATCCACAGAACGGGTCGGGAGGTAGATGCAGTCCTATGTACGGAACAACTAGACATAAAAAGTTTGTTACCTTTTTTCTTTGATACTTTGAACTTTTGAGTTTTCATTTTATTTTCTTTTTATGCATATTTGTGTGTTATCACCCCGTTGAACTCAATTTTGCATTACGGCCCCAACCCCTGTTTGATCTCGTCTGTCTAAGATCAATTCACAACGTGGGTAGGCAGACTGGAGATCAGTGCAGTTACCTTGGTAACCAGGCGTAGGAAGCAGGTTGGGAACGGCGAGGCTGATATCAAATCTAACCAGATTCCTACCCGAATCACCAAAGGGTTATAACGTCACGTTTGGAGCAGCGACACCTGGACGGAGCAGCGAGGAGCGAACAGCTAGCGCCGCGGCGAAGACGTCACAATTAGTGCTGTTTAGGGACGTCACATCTGGTGTCGTGACCGGGATAGGACCCTGGAACGACCACGTCACAACTGGCGCCGTGGTAGATCAGGATAGAACGTCACAGTTGGCGCTGCGACCGGGGACGACGTCACATATATAAGTATATCTGTTTCATATTTTATATTTCTTCTCACACACATGTATGTTTCATATTTTATATTTCTTCTTTTTCTTTTCTAATATATGAAACATACATGTGTGCGTGTGTGTGAGTGCGTGTGTGTCTTATTATCATTAGTTGTAGTATTAGTAATACTACTGATATTACTGCTAATAGTAGTATTAGTGTTATGTGATTGCATTATATGATGATGATAATGATGACGCAGTCTATAGAAAGACAACTATAACTGCCTCAGTTTGTAAACTTTGACACTTTGTAACTTTGTTAAATTTGATCTTTCTATCCATTTACTTTTTCCTTACCCGTAAAACGAATTTTTCCTCTCTTCTCAATGTAAGCCCCGCTAAGGATACATTTCTAGGTCAATTCATTTTTGAGTTTTGTTTCATCATGTATTTGTCTTTTATTTCTTACCTTGTTTTGTGTAACTGTCTGTCTGAATATATTAATTCATTTTCAGAAAATGTAGTCGGTCTGATGAGATAAATATACCTATATTCATCGACATAAATTTATTATCGAATATAGATTTTGAATACTTTTTTCTAATTATACACACACACACACACATATATATATATATATATATATAAAAATTAGAAAAATATTATACATACATACATATATATATATATATATATATATATATATATATATATATAAATAGAAGTCAACACTTAAGACTATATTTCTTTATATATATATATATATATATATATATATATATATATATATATATATATACATGAAGAAATATAGTCTTAAAATATGCTATATTTATGGGATAAAGTTCTCAATATCAGAGATAGAGTTGTAATATAAAAATGAACATAGAAGATAAAACTTAGGGTGACAGTCCATTTATGCTAGATGCAATCGTCGTGGCCTGACTATTGCATCTAGCATGGAAACAGACTGTCGCTCTAAGTATTAACTTCTATATTCACTTTTATATATATATATATATATTTAAAAATATGATTCCAACGCTACAGAAGAGTTCTCATATTTCAAAACAAGAGCCGAAAACTTCAATATAATTATTTGAATTATATTGAATTAAAGTACAAAGCTCTGTTCCATCTTCAAATAGAAATTTTTTGGAATCAAATTTTAATTATATTTATGCTCTACTTTTGTATCGAGCACTATTTTTTTAAAAATAATAACAAAAATACTAAAGAACTTTTGGATTATTTACCTAACGAGTTCTTTCCTTTTATATATATTTATTTTATATATATATATATATATATATATATATATATATATATACCGTTTCCATATATGTATAAAAATAATATATTTAAGTTTATACGACAAACTTGTGGTTTGGCATATAAACATATAATAAAATATATTTTTTTGTCTAAATTTTGTCAGTTCCTTCCCTCTGTATAATTCAAGAACACGTGTCTTTTATTCACAGAATATTTTCCAGTTCCCAAAATGCGACGATCACAACAAATTTCTAAACACAGTTTTGAGAAGAGGCTGTCAACGCTGGCGAGTGATGAACCCTGTCATTTTCCAGTATGTGTTTGCGTTTTTTTTTTTTCATTTCTATTTTATTCTTGCTTAATGCAACAAATCAGTTTTCTAGCGGTTCTTCATCGGGAGCTGAGTGAAGCTCTGTCACCTTGGCGACAACTGCTGGTTTTAATAGCGATATTCCAAAGCCTTCTAAAAGACAATAGAAATAATGTACCCGAATCTCATTTTCACTTTAAACCTGTCAGTTTCACTTTCACTTTCATTTTCCGCGGTGTATCTTCTCATTGGAAAAAATGTAAAGTGTTTCATTAACGTGACAGTGTGGACAAGAAAAACTCTAATAATTAGAAGACAAGAAGATGCTGGATATAATTTAAAAATGGCAGGACATTTTAGAAATAATTTATAAAGCAATGTTGACGAAGAAAGGCGGTGAAGCATACAATGTCTGATAATGTGAATACAATTTTGAAAGTGTACAATTTGTCGGAAAGAAAGCAGATAGTCATATGTTGATTGTAGAGATTGTTAGGAGAGTAATAATCCTGTCCAGAATGGATAGGCAGAAGATTTGCAAAGAATCGACAATGATAAGGATAATTAAATGATGGGAATGTGAAAAAAAAAGACAGAAAAAAATATGAGAACTAAAAGAATTTTTTAAATAAAAAACGAAGAAAAATAATACAGAGATGAACACAAGTGAGACTATAGCCAGGTAGAAAAAGTAATTAAGAAAAATCATAAAAAAAAACGAATGAGTATAAAGAATGTTGGATTGTTCAAGAAGTTGTTAAAAGACAAAGAATAACAGGAAAAGGTCAAAAATCGCAAAGCGAAAGAAAACGAATAAAAAAATCCAAAACGAGGGAAGATACGAAAACCTTTTAAATGAAAATAGCTAAAGATAAAATGAAATAACCTCAAGAGGATAGAGAAGAAGAAGGAGAGATAGGTAAGAAAGAAAGGAAGTGAAGAGTAAGAAGGAAAGGCAGGGAGTGTAATACAAATGGAGAAAACAAAGAAAATGAGAGAGAAAGAAAAAAGGAAGAGTAGGTGAAATAAAATGAAGGGAGAGTAGGAACGGAAGTGAGAGTGAAAGAAAGGAGGGAGAAAGAAGAAATTGATGGGAAGTTGAAGAAAGAGTGGAAGAGAGAGAGAGAGAGAGATTAAAGAAGGGAGAAGAAAATGCCGCTAGTGGCAAGATGGAAATGTAGGGTGCGAGAGAATGAAATAAAAGTAAGCGCAAGCCGGTATGGAAGAGAAGAAGGAAATTGAAGAAGAATCATGAAACGAAGTAGAAAAAGGTAATGGAAAGACAAAGAAATGACAGAAAAGAAAGAAAAAGATGCGAGAGAGTGAAAGAAATACGGGGAGACGAAATAAATAAATGAAAAAAATAAGAAAGAAAGGGGGAGTGAAAAGAAAGAAAAATGGTAGGGAAAGAAGGAAACGAATAAAGGAATGAAAAGAGGAGAAAAAGGGAATGAACATGGACGTAAAAAGGAAATGAAAGAAGGAAGAAGAAAGGAATGAAGGGAAGAAGAAGGAGGGAAGGAAGTGAAAGAGAAGAACCAAAAATGGAAGAGGAATGAGGAAATGAATGAAGATATAGGAAGTGAATGAATCGAGACAGAAGATGGAAATGACGTAAGGGCAGAAGAAAGGAATTAAAGGAAAATAAGTGAATGAAGAGATACGGAAGAAGAAAAAGGAAGGAAGGGAGAAGAAGTGAATTAAGCGAGACAGAAAAAGAAAATGAAGGAAGGTAGAAGAAAGGAATAATGGAAAGGAGACGAAGGTTATTAAGAGAGACAGAAGAAGGAAATGAAGGAAGGGAGGAGAAAAGAATGAAAGGAGGGAGAAAAATGGAATGAATAGAGGGAGAAGAAGGAAATGATGTATGCTAGAAGAAGGGAATTAAGTAAGTGAGAATAAGTGAATGAAGACAGACGGAAGAAAGAAAATGAAGGAAGAGAAAAGAACAAAATTAACGGATGGAGAAGATGGGAATAAAAACAGACGGAAAAGGAAATAAAAGAAGGGAGAAGAAAGGAATAAAGGGAGGGTGAAGAAAGGAATAAAGGGAGGGAGAAGAAGGGAATGAAGAGAGACGGAAGAAGGAAATGAAGGAAGAGAGAAGAACAAATTGAGGAAGAATCATGAAACGAAGTAAAAGAAAGTATTGGAAAGACAAAGAAATGACAGAAAAGAAAGAAAATGATGTGAGAGAGTGAAAGAAATATGCGGAGACGAAATAAAGTAATGAAATAAGTAAGAAAGAAAGAGGGAGAGAGAAGAAGGAAAAATGGTAGGGAAAGAAGGAAATGAATGAAAGGATAATAAAGGAATGAAAAGAGGAGAAAAAAGGGAATGAACATGGATGTAAAAAGGAAATGAAAGAAGGGAGAAGAAAGGAATGAAGGGAAGAAGTTTGAGGGAAGGAAGTCAAGGAGAAGAACAAAAAATGGAAGGGGAATGACGTAAGGGCAGAAGAAAGGAATTAAGTAAGGGAGAATAAGTGAATGAAGAGAAACGGAAGAAGAAAAATGAAGGAAGGGAGAAGAAGTGAATTAAGCGAGACAGAAGAAGGAAATGATGGAAGGGAGAAGAAAAGAATGAAATGAGGGAGAAAAATGGAATGAATAGAGGGAGAAGAAGGAAATGATGTATGCTAGAAGAAAGGAATTAAGTAAGTGAGAATAAGTGAATGAAGACAGACGGAAGAAAGAAAATGAAGAACAAAATGAACGGATGGAGAAGATGGGGATGAAGACAGGCGGAAAAGGACATGAAAAAGAGAGAAGAAAGGAATAAAGGGAGGGAGAAGGATGGAATGAAAAGAGACAGAAGAAGGAAATGAAGGAAGAGAGAAGAAGTGAATTCAGAGAGACAGAAGAAGGAAATGACGTAAGAGGGGAAGAAAGGAATTAAGTAAGGAAGAAGAAGGTATGAAGAAAGGGAGAAGTGAAATAAGGGAGACAGAAGAAGGATATGAAGGAAGTGAGAGGAAGTGAATGAAGGGAGACACAAAAAAGAAAGGAAGTAAGTGTAAAAGTAAGGAATTTAAGTAAGGTAGAATAAATGAATGAAGAGAGAAGGAAGAAGGAAATGAAGGAAGAGAGAAGAAAAGAATGAATGGAGGAAGAAGATGGGGAGGGTGAAAGGGAGAAAGAAAATAATTAAGGACGAGAGAAGAAAAAAAAAAGAAACGTGGGAGGAGAAGAGAAGGAAGAGAAGCGATTGAAGGAAATAAAAGGCAGTAAAAGCAGAAAATGAAGTCCAACAACATCAGAATAAATTAAAATCAAACCAAATGAAGAAAAGAAGAAGAATTTGTACAAAATAAAAATGTAATAATTTGATGCCTGAATATAGAAAGAAGAAAGGGTTTCGAGAAAAGATGATAAAGCAAAGGACCATATGGAATAGAGGGGAGGTATTGAAAACCTAAAGTGTAAGAGGATAAAGGGATCAATGAAGATAGAAATGAACGTCAGGGGGATGAACATTTCTCGGTCCAATCAATTCTCAAAATCAATATTTTAATGACAAATAATTAAAATTTTTTTTGCGGGGGGGGGGGAAGTGCGTTGGGCTGAATGATTTTCGATTAACCTTAATAAAAGAAGTATTAAAAAAATGCACAGTCAATATGTGGAATAGGGGAGATGAAATAGCTGAGGATATTTGAAGAATAAAAATAGAACGAAGAAAGTTTTAAAAAAAATAACAAAATTGAAAGAAATTATTTTATAAAGACAGTGAAAGCAAAAGAAGAAGAAGAAGAAGAAGAAGAAGAAGAAGAAGAAGAAGAAGAAGAAGAAGAAGTTGATGATGATGAAGATAGGGAAAAAGAAGCAGCATCCGTGAAGATGTCAAAGAAGAAAAGCAAGAATAGCCTATAACTATGAAGAAGAGGAGGAGGAAGAAGTTGTATACAAGAACTAGAAATCGAAGAAAAAAAGAAGGGGAGACGTTAAAGAAGATTTACTGCTTATGAAGAGGAAAAGAGAAAAAGATCTTTTATCTACGTAGATGAGGAAGTATTACAGAAGGACCTAGATCTAATACCTAAGAAGAAGAAGAAGAAAAGAAGAAAGATTTAGTATCTATGAAGAAAAAGAAGAATTTGTATCGATGAAGAAGAAGAAAAGAAGAAGAATTAGTGTCTATGAAGAAAAATAAGTATTTATGAAAAAGAAGAAAAGAAAGATTAGAATCTATGACAAAGAATATTCGAAGAATAATAATTAGTATCTATGAAAATTAAGAATGAGAAGAATTAGAATTTCTGAGGAATAATTAGAATTTATGAAGAAGAAGCAAAAAAAGAATTAATGTCTATGAAGATGGAGAAGAATTCGCATCTATGAAGAATACGAAGAGGAAGTAAAATTAATGCCTATAAAGAAGAATTAGTATCTATGAAAAAGAATAATAATTATCAACTATGAAGAAGAATAAGAATTATCAACTATCAAGAAGGCGAAGAGGATGAATTATCAGCTATAAAGAAGAAGATGAATTATCAACTATGAAAAAGAAGAAGAAAATTATCAACTGTGAAGAGGCAGAAGAAAAAGATGAATTATCAACTATGAAGAAAAAGAAGAAGAATTATCAACTATGAAGAAAAAGAAGAGGAAGAATTCTCAACTATGAAGAAAAAAATGAATTATCAACTTAAGAAGAAAAGAAGAAATCGAATTATCAACTATGGCGAAGAAGAAGAAGAAGAAGAAGAAGAAGTCGAATTATCAACTATGGCGAAGAAGAAGAAGAAAAAAGAAGAAGAAGAAAAAGAAGAAAAGAAGTGAATTATCAACTATGGCGAAGAAAAGAAGAAGAAGAAGAAGAAGAAAAGAAGAAGAAAAAGAAGAAGTCGAATTATCAACTATGAAGAAGAAGAAGAAGAGAAGAAAAGAAGAAGAAAAGAAGAAGTCGAATTATCAACTATGAAGAAAAAAGAAGAAGAAGTGAATTATCAACTATGAAAAGCTGAAGAAGAAGAAGAAGAAAGAAGAAGAAAGAAGAAGAATTATCAACTATGGCGAAGAAGAAGAAGAAGAAGAAGAAGAAGAAGAAGAAGAAAAGAAGAAGTCAATTATCAACTAGAAGAAGAAAAGAAGAAGAAGAAGAAGAAGAAGAAGAAGAAGAAGAAAAGAAGAAGAAAAGAAGAAGAAACTATGGCGAAGAAGAAGAAGAAGAAGAAGAAGAAGAAGAAGAAGAAAAGAAGAAAGAAGTCGAATTATCAACTATGGCGAAGAAGAAGAAGAAGAAGAAGAAGAAGAAGAAGAAGAAGAATTATCAACTAATGCGAAGAAGAAGAAAGAAGAAGAAGAAGAAGAAGAAGAAGAAGAAAAGAAGAAGAAGAAAAGAAGAAGAAGTCGAATTATCAACTATGGCGAAGAAGAAGAAGAAGAAGAAGAAGAAAAGAAGAAAAAAGAAGAAGTCGAATTATCAATTATGGCGAAGAAGAAGAAGAAGAAGAAAAGAAGAAGGCGAAGAAGTCGAATTATCAAAGAAGAAGAAGAAAAGAAGAAGTCGAATTAAACTATGAAGGCGAAGAAGAAGAAGAAGAAGAAGAAGAAGAAAAGAAGATGAAGTCGAATTATCAAAGAAGAAGAAGAAGAAGAAGAAGAAGAAGAAAAGAAGAAGTCGAATTATCAACTAATGCGAAGAAGAAGAAGAAGAAGAAGAAAGAAGAAGAAGAAGAAGAAAAGAAGAAGAAAAGAAGAAGTCGAATTATCAACTAGAAGAAGAAGAAGAAGAAGAAAAAAAAGAAGAAGAAGAAGAAGAAGAAGAAGAAAAAAGAAGAAGAAGAAAAAGAAGAAGAAGAAGTCGAATTATCAACTATGGCGAAGAAGAAGAAGAAGAAGAAGAAGAAGAAGAAGAAAAGAAGAAGAAGTCGAATTATCAACTATGGCGAAGAAGAAGGCGAAGAAGAAGAAGAAGAAGAAAGTCGAATTATCAACTATGAAGAAGAAGAAGAAGAAGAAGAAGAAGAAGAAGAAGAAAAAGAAGAAGTCGAATTATCAACTATGGCGAAGAAGAAGAAGAAGAAGAAGAAGAAGAAGAAGAAGAAGAAGAAGGCGAAGAAGAAGAAGAAGAAGAAGAAGAAAAAGAAGAATTATCAACTAATGAAGAAGAAGAAGAAGAAGAAGAAGAAGAAAAGAAGAAGAAGAAGAAGAAGAAGAAAGAAGAAAAGAAGAAAAAAAGAAGAAGTCGAATTATCAACTATGGCGAAGAAGAAGAAGAAAGAAGAAGAAGAAGAAAAAGAAGAAGAAAAGAAGTCGAATTATTATCAAGAAGAAGAAGAAGAAGAAGAAGAAGAAGAAGAAGAAAAGAAGAAGTCGAAGAAACTATGAAAAGAAGAAGAAGAAGAAAAGAAGAAGAAAAGAAGAAGTCGAATTATCAATTATGGCGAAGAAGAAGAAGAAGAAGAAGTCGAATTATCAACTATGGCGAAGAAGAAGAAGAAGAAGAAGAAGAAGAAGAAAAGATGAAGTCGAATTATCAACTATGGCGAAGAAGAAGAAGAAGAAGAAGAAGAAGAAGAAGAAAAGAAGAAGTCGAATTATCAACTAATGCGAAGAAGAAGAAGAAGAAGAAGAAAAGAAGAAGAAGAAGAAGAAGAAAAGAAGAAGAAAAGAAGAAGTCGAATTATCAACTATGGCGAAGAAGAAGAAGAAGAAGAAGAAGAAGAAAAAGAAGAAGTCGAATTATCAACTATGGCGAAGAAGAAGAAGAAAGAAGAAGAAGAAGAAAAAAGAAGAAGAAAAGAAGTCGAATTATCAACTATGGCGAAGAAGAAGAAGAAGAAGAAGAAGAAGAAGAAGAAGAAGAAGAAGTCGAATTATCAACTATGGCGAAGAAGAAGAAGAAGAAGAAGAAACTATGGCGAAGAAGAAGAAGAAGAAGAAGAAGAAGAAGTCGAATTATCAACTATGGCGAAGAAGAAGAAGAAGAAGAAGAAGAAGAAGAAGAAGAAAAGATGAAGTCGAATTATCAACTATGGCGAAGAAGAAGAAGAAGAAGAAGAAGAAGAAGAAGAAGAAAAAAGAAGAATTATCAACTATGAAGAAGAAGAAGAAAAGAAGAAGAAAAGAAGAAGTCGAATTATCAACTATGGCGAAGAAGAAGAAGAAGAAGAAGAAGAAGAAGAAAAGAAGAAGAAGAAGAAGAAGAAGAAGAAGAAAAGAAGAAGAAAAGAAGAAGTCGAATTATCAACTATGGCGAAGAAGAAGAAGAAGAAGAAGAAGAAGAAGAAGAAGAAGAAGAAGAATTAACATCTATGAAGAATTGGGTGTGAGGGAAATGACGAAGCAAGTGGTGAGGATAATAAAAATGTGGGTTGAATTCACAGCAGATGAATAGA